GAGCAGATACGAAAGGAACGGGACATTACGTCTGCAAACGCTACAAGCCAGAAGGCAAGAGAAGTGAGTAAAGAGCTGGAGGTATTGCTGGACGCCGTCGCCTTTCACATTAGCGGGATCCCCGACAGTGCGGAGGAAAACGAAACTATTATCAGCCCAGAGCAGCGGTTCATAATGAAAAAAGTAGCAACAAGGGCCAGCCAGGAAGCATCAGCTGCCGCTAAGAGAGCGGCAGACATCCTACGAGGGATACTGTCTCGGGGGGCTGCCCATCAAATGCAGAACCGTACAGACTGTATTAACCCTTCTATTATGAAAGAACTGCATCATTCACTGGAGCTGGTTGGACACAGGATACAGCTAGCCTGTAACCAGGCCCTCGGTGCAGCAGCAAGGGCAAAGCGAGAGAGTAGCGGCTCAACAAACCATATGAAGGAATTAGTGAGAGATGCTAGGAACGCTGCTATGGAGGTCGAAACTCTCTTGGGGGATGTGGAAAGACTGTGGTTTCAATCACAGCTTTTAGAGTCTCTAGAAGTTGACGTACAGCTAAGCGTCAGTGNGTGGAAAGACTGTGGTTTCAATCACAGCTTTTAGAGTCTCTAGAAGTTGACGTACAGCTAAGCGTCAGTGTGGCACGAAGAGCAGCAGCAGCAGCAAAGCGACTCCAGCAGCAGATGTGGGATTTTGACATGGCTTCTAGTAGAATAGGGCAGGTTGAAACTGTGCTGAAGCAAGTGGACGCCTTAGCGGGTTCGGCTAAGTTTCAGCCAGACCTGAAGGGCCTAGCATCGACAGCAGCAGCTCTGAAGGGAGCAGTAGTACAGCTCGTCACATTGGTTCAGTCGGCCCAGCAGAGCCAAACCGGAATTTTGATTCTCTGAAAAAGGCACCAGATAGAGCCTTTCCGTCTTCGAGGCTGGGCCAGTCCCCGACGTTCTCTGTCACGTCGACGCTGCACACCTGTCTCGCAGCCGTGACGTTATTTGCAGGCGGAGGCAGGGATAAAATACTGCAGTCTGATCGACGAGGGCAGGGACAGGGAAGGGTGTAGGAGTAGACAGAAAGGCAAAATATGTTCCCCATTTCTTGCTGCCATTGGACACAGCGGTTTTAGTAGTACGCACTCAACCTGTGTCTTGGGTTGCAGCAACTAGCATAAGTTCACCAATGCAGAAAAGAAGGCGGCGTTTTTGTTTTGTGCCGTACCTGTGCGTATTATTATCATAGTNAGTTCACCAATGCAGAAAAGAAGGCGGCGTTTTTGTTTTGTGCCGTACCTGTGCGTATTATTATCATAGTTCTAGCGGGGGACGACGAAAGCGGGCTCAAGTGCCTCTGACCGACTTTGGGTGGGGGGAGAGGGAATTTTCGGAGACCCGAAATGCGCTACGCTCGCGATTTGAAGAGCGTTGTGCGGTCCCCAGAGTTTCACTCCCCCGTTTTGTTAAATGCGTTTTAGTTTGAATTCCTTGCTTAGCAGATCCGTCTGCTAAGCAAAAGTGCCACATTAAGAATTACTAGTGTGCGATCTCTTCGGAGGCGCAGTTTGAAGCATAACTCTTTGCCTCCACCTGGTTCCCACTGCATAGTGGGTACTTCGTGGATGCTTACATTTATACACACAAATACATGCGGGTATTTATATGGGTATGTTTGCCTGCACCTATATATGCATAATTAAGCATGAACCATACTAATGACGTACAGATGTAAGCGCACCTGCCGGGGAGGGGACTCCACTTTACAGAATGGGTGTAAGAGTGAAGAGACACTAAGCCGTCACCAGGAGCTGATGCACAACAAATCCCCCACTGCTGCATACACTCGCAGTGTAAACAATTGTTGAGCACTTAGTTGGCTCTCAGTAGCCAGCCTGCAATGCAATAACAACACGCAAACCACCACGCAGTTCTACACTTTGCAGCAGGAGCAGGCGTGGCTGGAGCTCCCCCTACTGCGAACGGCCAACCCTTTGCTGGGTATCCATGCCCACGAAGATGCCAGCAGCCTGGGAGAGAGGGGTGGGGGGGGCAGAAGCAGCATGGCTTGTCTGGATTTTGTCCGTGTACTAGCTGCAGGGTGGCTACTGCGGGCCAAGGAAGTGTTCAACCATTCTCCGTAGTGTTGATGCTTGCAGCACAAGCGGCTTCGTTGCGAATGTATCTGGACTTCCCGTGCTGCACGAGTTTCAGTTGGGTGCGTTGCAACTCATCTCAGGACTCCTCCTCTGCCCCGGTCGCAGTTCACCTGGGGACTCAAGAGGATACGAGCTGATTTGAAGATGCTCTTATCTTAATTATTTTGACTCTACTGAAACACGCGACAGTCCTCTAACATTATGGGGAGTTATCGTTATAACCTGCCTTGTGTTGCATCACAGTGAGCCGCAACTTTGATGCAGGGCAACACTGCGTGCGAATACTACCAGGATCTCTTCTGCACTAGCACTGTAGAATGTTGATAAACACTGAGTTGACCCTTGGCAGCCAGCCTGCTCGCANTCTCTTCTGCACTAGCACTGTAGAATGTTGATAAACACTGAGTTGACCCTTGGCAGCCAGCCTGCTCGCAAGTAGAAATGGATGTTGCTCAAGACACAGCATACTGCACCGAGAATTTCGGTACATTGTTGCTCAGACTCTAGCAGAAGCTGAAAACACCCTTTACCGTCTGAAATCTAGGCAAATCAACATTGATTGCTCATTTAAACTTGAATTTTGTGTTTGGCTGGCAATTTCGTTAATGACGAATGCCATGCAACAGGACCGCATCGCCTCCGGTTACAGATAAGCGGTGGACTACGAGCATCGACATGGGCAGTCCAGGCTGCCTGAAGGCGGGGCGAGCAGATTTCGGAACTTCATGTTACAGTACACTTCATTTTTATGCAGTTTATTTGAGGGGAAACCTTTTTTTTTCGAAGCATCGGGATGCGTCGTTTCTTTTCACTCGTCATTGCCAATGTGGCGCTCCTGGGGGCGGTGAGCAGAGGTATGGAAACAACGAACCCTTTGGCGTCGAGGTCTGATGCCGTACAGCAGCAAACCATTGAGTTTTTGGAGCC